AACAAGAAGGATGTTTACCTTCCCCCTTGTGCCCGCTTCCTCACTTCCTCTACAGATGTTGCTAACACAACAATCGCCTACAAACTCGTTTTCACGCTCCCTCTATTAGTAATTGCTCGGAGGACGCACCTATTAAAAATATTGCGCCAAGATGTAGGCAACACGTAATAAGGGTTCAAAATGGCGGAGGTTTCTATCTCCTTTTAAAAGGCACTCAGAAAGCTGCGCAGTGCGACCATTCTCCGTATAGTAAAAGAAAATCAAAGTATGTGGAGTTTATGGTTGGATACCCCGTTGGCATTTCAGAGTAGTATTCGCAACGAGTTAGACATTACGCAATTTTATTTATCACGGTACTGAGCATGTTTAGAACCATGCTGGTCTGATTGATACGCTAGCTGAACATAGCTTTGAATTCATTTAGGAAGGTCGTTAACTGTTCAGATATATCGGAAGATTGGTTGCGGGTGACTGTTGGGGCGTATGAAGTTTGTGGGATTGGCTGTGAATTGATTTGAGGTTGATGGGTGTTTATTTGCGGGAACTGATTTATGGCATCATCAAGTAAAGGCCGAAACAATAAATAATTTAGAAGTAATTTAGTAAATACGAAAATATTTTTAAAGGAATTGTTACAGAATAGACCCCTTTGTCGACATTTTATTGACCACTGTACTGTGGTAACTGGCATTATCCATAATAATTGTAGAAGGTTCTTCTTAGTTCATTAAAAGCTGATATTTAAACCAATGAAAAGTATTTTTCTTTTTAGAAGAAAATACCAACTCTGCTCCAGAAACAAATCCACATGTACCTGCGCATTATTCGCTCTAATTGCTTATTTCACAATTTCGCCAGTTTTCTTTTCTACACAACTCGATTTCAGCTATTGGAATTCTATTCCTACGTATATTATTGAATTCTAGTCTATATATGATATGATTGGACAAGTAAACCTCCCGTAAAGTGATTTTGTTGTGGAAACAACTTCGAAATCTTGTTAGAGGAAAACCGTCAAATAAAATCGAACGTGATAGCCAACTCGTTGATCCGGGGACCCAAGTAAATGGCCCATGTCGAAGGTCGTAACGAAATTATGGGCCGCGACGGATTCAAAATTCGCGAGCGTAGAGGGGTCAGATTTAAAAAGGGGTTCATATAAACCAATTCTATTAGAGACGAGAGTAAGTGATAGTGATGTGGAAGCCGTATGTACTGTGCGTCAGGCCACAAATAGGTAATGCACTGCTTAGCAGTATTTTTTGTTTTATTTATTTTTAAACTAAAATATATTTGAGATATTCGAAAGATCATTTTACCATAAAGAAAATTATAGAAGTAAATAAATTAATAGGTAAAGAGAAGGTAATAAATTTAAATACTATGGCCATGTTTCTTAAACATCTTTTTAATGAACTTATATTTAAGAAATTTGACATGTTAAAGTCGAAATTTATATACAGAGTAAACAAAAAGTAACTTAACTTATTAATCTTGAAAGAGTAAAACCAAATTTGGTAGATTTTCACACTTTTTTTAAAAATATAAAAATTTTTAAAAACACTAACATGACATATGTTTCGAAGTACAACTTCTTTTTCAAATTTGAAATGTTTTTATTTTATTAAGCAAACAAATTTTTATTTTGATGCACCTACCACCTTTAAAAGTTTGTCAGTATATTAACGAGAAATCCTATATAATTCCCAAAGAAAAATATTTTTGGAATAAATTCCGAATTCTATTTATTGATATTTGTTATTTTTTAGGTTCAATGACTCGAAACATGATGATCAACTACACCAAGAATATCCTTGATACTTAAAAAAAAAATGGTACAAGATTAAGCAGATTTGGGGTATCAGTTGATAGAAAACAGTACGCAAAAATAAATTTAGATCTGCAGGTGCATCAGAGATAGCCATATTCCATACCACAATACGTCATGCGTGAACCCAATAAGATTTCATCGGCTAAGTATAATTCCTCTGTAATGTTTTGTATCATTAGGAATACCAACATTAAACAATTATGACCAGGGTTTTCTAACCTTTTCCCTAGGTCAGAGAGAATAAATGAAAACTAAATTATGTATAGTAATTGATATCAAGATTAAAAATATATATACTTTTAAGAGTTTTATTATGTCAGCCTTAGTTTTATACCAAAAATGAAAATAAACTGAAATTATACATTAAAAATACATTCATAAATTAACTATATTTATAACACTCATCGACTCTCTCCTGGCTAAAATATTACTTATCTATCTATTCGGATCTGTTCCGTCTATTTTTTGGCCTTTAGCCTCCTTCTGACACTTCCATTCGTTCTTATTCAGTGTAGTATTCACATAGTTTTCAGAATATCAAGTGTTATACCTATCTGATGCTTGGTCCTACAAAGTTCATCTTCAGTACACCTGCTTATGTGACATCTATCTCGATGTCAAGTTTGATTGAACACCCGTTTCTTGCCTATTACTCTTATACTTAACCAGAACTAGCTTAGACTTGAACGCATATGTCTAATTCGGCCAAAACACAGCCTTGGTACACAAATATCTATTTTACCGCTGGTTTCATTACAAAAAAACTGGAGTAAAGGGTAAAATTATCTCTTGTCCAGTACACTCGTATAATATACTTGAGTATTGCCTATATTATTTTTGATTGAAGACGTATACATTTAAAAATGTCGTTTACTTAAAAATAAACATTTAATTTTGATATTTTATTTAACTCGATCAAAACATTAAATTATTATTTTCCATGGCTTATACCGGACCTGTATGTACTCTAGTAGCCATGGAGTAGCTGACAGTGTTGCCGTCAGTTGCCGCCACATATTCATTAGTAACATACGTTTTATAAATTCATCGTGTTACAAATTTGTTGACATAAAGAGATAGAAATTTAAAGTGACGTCTTTTATTACTTCGAATGAAAAAAATCGATAATGAGATTTTCTAACCTAAAAAAAATCGTGATGATATGTCAAACAAAATTGAACTTGGCCTTAATAGACTGTTCATCCATATATAAACAAGACATCTAAAAGCCGGTCATATTGCTTGTCTTGCCGAGTGCTCACCAGACAGAATCGGTCTGGCCCAAATGAGTTTAAAACTCATATTTCATCAAACTATAAATTGAATTAAGAAAAAAATAATTAATTTTTTAAAAAAGAATATACGTTTGTTTGAGTTGTAAAGTCTAGTTTCCAAATTTTTAAAACATTTTAAGAGATCTAACCAATATTGAACATACATGTAAACAATTTTACACTCTTGTGTATGTAACTAACTTTAGACCACGACCACTGTATAGTGGCACTATTTGGACACTTGATTATTCTTTTAAAATTTATTTCGCATTTTAAAAGCAGATATTATGCAAAAATTGATTAAATTGTTTAAAAATTTTGCTAAAAGTAAGTAGCCTTTTCGCATTCTAAAGTTTGTTCCCTTTAGACAATTATAGATTATTTTGGCGGTGAATGTGATTGATTTGATGAATAATAATAATAAGATTCCACCAGTGGAAATCTGACCAACATCATAATAAAATGGACTACAAAGAGCAATCTTAGTTGACGTCAAGATCCGTATACCTTAGCGTCTGTAAGGAGGGAAGAAAGATTCTGACTTACAGTCACAACTAAGCTTAGTCGACGTAAGTTAGCTCAGAATAGTGGTAAAAAGAAAGCGATCATTAATAAAAAGAAAAATAATCTAGCAAAAGAGTGGTGATTTAGTTGATTCGTTTACAAACAGAATTGTTAGTGCTAAAGAACTATATTCTTTAACAGGATTGAAATCCTTCCAGTTATTAGCCACCATTCTGAAATTAGTTGCAGAGTTGTTTCCAAACTGTAGCTGACAACCCTTTATAAAGCCATTCACCATTTAAATTCAAAAACAAAACAAGTTTTTATACTCAAATAATTAAAAGAACTTAAGGCAGAACATGAGTATAATTATAACTTAATAAAATACACATTTCAACAAAATATTCGACTAAGCAATGACAATGACAATAATATCTCAACTAGACTAAACTTTCTTCAAAACCGGTCCTGTAAAAGGTTTGTTTACCAGTGAGCACTCATAATTGAGACAAAACACAAACATTGCATGTACTAGACAAAGAGAAAACATCTCCAAGTTTAACCCGCTTTTCATCGTTTTGTTTACGTATGGATAAGCAGTCTATATAAAGTATATATGTCATTGGAAGTAGCTGACAGTGTTGCCGTCAGTTGCCGCCACCTATTCATTAGTGACATACGTTTTATAAATTCATCGTGTTACATATTTGTTGACATAAAGCACATACTTTGATTTGGACAGCTACATATCCACATACTTTGATTACTATACGAGGCAAGAGAGAGGTCCGACACGCCCAACATAAGGCGCGGCCATTTTGAACCCTGTGACACAGTTTACAGCTAAAGAATCAGATCGCTCACTCTGCGTCGTCACTTTGGATCTCAATGTTTCAGTTTATACACTGTGCAACTCGGATAATACAATATATGACAACCGCCTATAATAAAACAGCAGTCTTCTGCGTATCCTGAATTTGTATCCCTGGAGTGGATGTTATTTTGGAACTTTCAACTGGTCCGAGTGAGCTAACTGATTCTTTAGCAATAAACTGTGACTTCAAAAATAATATTCACTGACACTGACAGCAGCAAGCAAAATATCAGGTGCGTTTTAATCATCCGCTTCTGCTTCCGGAATTGTCGGTTTAGTCGTTTTAACCTGTCAAATTAAAACAAGAAAATTGACAATTCCGAAGCAGAAGCGGATGATTAAAACGCACCAATTAAAAATATTGCGCCAAGATGTAGGCAACACGTAATAAGGGTTCAAAATGGCGGAGTTTTCTATCTCCTTTTAAAAGGCACTCAGAAAGCTGCGCAGTGCGACCATTCTCCGTATAGTAAAAGAAAATCAAAGTATGTGTACATATCAGATAAACAAACCCGATGTAGTAGATGTGTCCGATATGGATAAACAAACGCTCGAGATGTAAAAAATGCGTCGAGTGTGGATATTCAAACGCAGCAAATGTAGGTTCTTTTGTTCGTCTCAGTGGTGTAGGAATGAGATTTTTTTAAGAAAATTGAGGTTATATCAAAAAATATTTTATTTTCAGAATAATACACAATATTTTTATATTAACTCTGGTTATTTTGGTTTTGTCGCAGTTATATTAATCAAAAATAGTAAATAGTATTATTTGCATTAAGAATATAGCAAAAATAGTGAAAATTGTTGTGTCCGTATTGTTTACAGTCACCCTATAAGTCCTTCCACAGTTATAAAACGATCATAAGACTTTTTATGAATTTGCATTACAAGTCTGACAAACGTTGATTCTGAAATCTGAAAAATTGTCAAACAAATCATACTGACAGATATTCTTTAACGCATACATGAGCATACATTACACGCAAGTAGGTGAAGGCGGAATCAAAGCAGTCCAACAATATGGCGCAAGTCCTCCTCATTTCGTCATCGAAGAAATCATTCAAGAAAAGAAATTAACCAACGAAGAGGCTTCTAAGTGTCTAAACACCCTAGGAAAAGATGAAAGTGGTGTCAGATACGCTTACTTAATGATGACTGCATCTGAAATGAAACTCACTGATATATCTGTGATCACCAATTATAACCATCTTCTGTTCGTTGACGTAACGGGTAATTTATTAAATCTAGAAGCTTTGCAAGTTCTTTCGCAGATACCGTACTTACTCTACATCAGAGCCGAGAGGAACAGACTTGAATCTGCAGCGTTGAACATAATCCCTTACCTACAAGTATTGATTCTTAATAAAAACGCTATCATAGAAACTGGAGATATAAACCAGCCGATGTTAAATTCAATAGAACTTTCTGACAATCAAATATTTACTGTACAATTTGACCCGGATCGTCTGGAATCAGTTAGGGAGATAACTCTAGCTGGTAATCACCTTCTGGATACTTCAGGATCCTATCCGAAGACGCTAGAAAGATTGTACTTAGGTAGAAACAAAATCTGCAAGATCAATACCGATTTCTCTCAGATGGAAAAGCTCCAAGTGTTGCATTTAAGAGATAATAACATAAGAAAACTATCAGGTTTCACTTCTAATTTAGAAAATCTTAATTACCTCAACGTAAGAACTAACAAAATCAATAAAATTCGTCAGTTCAGGAAGTTGACTTGTTTATCAAGCTTAGAAACGCTTGTAATGCTCGATAATCCTTTGTATTCCAATCCGATTATGGTGGAACACAGAGGAGAAGGTGGCGAAGGCACTGAACGTGGTGGCTACACAACGGAAGACACGGATGAAGACAAATCCGAGATGTACGGCGAGGGTCATGAAGATATTGCGCCACTTGATATCGTTAGAGTACGTCTGTTGGCGCTTCTACCCAAGTTGAAACGGATAAACAAGGATTTGGTTACTCACGAGGAAAGAAAGATGGCCGAGGAAAGCAGGCAGCGGTTGCTGGATGAAATATTCGCCGAGGAAAGCAGCGAAGAAGAAACGGAACTCGCGACGACCAATTATACCAGTGATTTTACTGATTCTGAAGTGGAATCTGGACATCCTGTTAGCGAGCAGACTGTTGTCGATGAATCTGACGATGGACCATAAAGAAGTGAATATTATTTAATATCCCTATCATCGCGCCTGATGTAATTATTAATCATTTTAAACTCAAACAAATAATGATTGAGAGTGAAAGCAGGTAGAAATACGACCAAATCGGAGGCGTGCTTATTATTTTTGAGAGGGTACAATTATTTAAAATATTCATACAATTTCTTTTATTTATTTCATGAAAACTTTGCAATATCGTAATTTACCTAATCGTTGTAGTCATTAGTGGGGCTTTATGAAAACGGAGTAATAATTGTGGTAATTATAGTAGGAACCAAATAAATTAAGAATATTAATAAAAATCACAATATATATTTCAAATTAAAAATAAGAAAGATACCTAATCAGGGGTTGGTTTGGTGACAGAAACAATATCAATTTTACTATTTTAATAATGAATTTAACTTTATTTCACAAATTAACGTATATTTATATATTATGTCGCGGCCGAAGTCAGTAAGGAACTGTCTCTTAAGTTTCTTCTTGGGTTACACATACAGAAGTATTACTTAAATTTTAAATTAAAATCATAATGACGGATATTGCATATCCAATGCAATTTATATTTTTATTTTGTTTTGTTTAGTTATTTTTTAAATTTTTTTATTTTTTAATATTTTTATATTATATTTAGTTTTTAATTTACTTCGCTTTGTCTATAAAATTTTTGTAATTTTTCAATGACAATAAAGCATACCTCTGTATATATATATATATATATATATATATATATATATATATATATATATATATATATATATATATATATATATATATATATATATATCTCCCGGTTTACCTGCAGTTCCTCGAAACTAGCCAGCCTTACCCAAGAAACCCTAATTGGGTTCGGCCAACATTAAAAGACATTATAAAGCTTAAATTACTATTTGATTGGTACTTAAATCATAAAAGTTTACACGCACCTATCATTTCGGAAATCCCTAAGTAAGATAATTAGTTTGGATATAACCTACAGGATTATGTTTTCTTGACCGCCAAACATAATAATAATAATGTTTATTTCAAATTTATGTAACAATGTACAAATTGATACAATAATACTAATTAAATAAATAAACATTTGTATCCTGCTGAGACATTGTTCATGTCTGTGTACAGGAATTAAAAATACAAATTTATATAATAATTTCTAAATGGTAATAGTGAATGGTAAAAATAAAAATTATACCTAAATATATAGACTTCTTTCTGTGTACAAATTTTCTTCTAATCTTCAACCTCAGATTCGTCACTGCTGCTACCGCTATCATCAAAGTTAATTATGATTGGTTCAATATTGTGTTCAATACGGTTGTCTACGTCCCACATTTTTTGCTCTTCTTTTAAAACATGCTGAATGCATTTCTTCCAGTCTTCTGCAGAAACATTTTGAATGGCTTCTTGAAGGTAACGTTGCACGTCCACTAATTTAAATGTTCTGTTTTCTCGTGCCACATATCCTTTTACTTGCGCCCAGATTAATTCTATTGGGTTTAATTCGCAGTGGTACGGTGGTAACCTTAATACTGTAATTCCACGACTTAGCGCCATTTCATCCACTGCGAATTTTTTATATTTGTCTCTGTGTAATTTTGTTAACTGAAGTAGTTCTGCCTTTAAACTATCTTTTTTATATTGGGTGTTTTTATTAATTAACCATTCTTGAATTGCTCGTTTTTTCCATGATTGTTTCGGTAATGATTCTAAATACCGACTATGATATGGGGCATTGTCCATGACGACGACAGACCCAGGTTCCACAAGTTGAATGATGCCTTCAAACCATTTTTCAAACACCTCCGCATTCATCTCTTCATGATAGTCGCCTGTTTTCTTGGATTTAAATATTAATTCACCATTTGGTAAAAATCCACTGTCGCTTCCTATATGCGTAACCATCAGACGACTACCTTTTCCAGACGGCTGTTTTAACCCAGTTGACAAGCCTTCAATAAAGGCTTATCGTGCACTTGTTATATGACCATCCTGCCATACTTTTTTGACCGTATGTCCTTGGTTAACCCACGTCTCATCCATGTAGTAAATTTTTTTTTTGATATTCCGAAATTCCTCAATTTTTCGGAGATAATTTCTTCTCCATACTATTATTTCCTGACGTTCAATGAGAATGCTTTTCCTGTCGACTTTTCCGTACGTAAATTTCATTTCGTGTAAAATTTTCCTCAAAGTTTCTTTACTCATTTGTGGGACCAATTCATGATCGCTAACTGCCTCCAGAACTTTTTGCAAAGTGGGCACCTCATTTCTGAAAAAGAAACTGTGAATAGTTGTGCGTATACTGTTTTTGGCTTCTTCATCAACTGTGATTTTTTTTCTTCCGCTACTAGTTTTTGGCGTTTGTACTTCCCCATGAATTTTGTTTTCTCTTAGTATTTTGTAAACTGATGATTTTGGTACACCCGTATAATCAGAGCACATATCAACTAATTTATCTTTTGTAATTGTGAAAGTTAATGATGTTGGAACGCCCGGTTGGTTATTCGGAGGTACATCCGTAGAATTACAGTACATATGCACTAAGTTATCTTTTGGTCGCTGATGATCTCTTTCAAGACAGTGAAATACTCGAAGTACAATTTGTTTTTCACTTAGCGACCGAGACTTCGACCGTTTTACCTTTTTCGACGTTGAATGCCCTTCAATGTCTTCCATTTTTTGCATAGTTTTAGAACGGTGTAGAAATATTATAATCTAATGTTTAAACACTTATTAGCACTAATATTTTCACCAATTGTTCTTACAACACGTCGATTACTTACTAACTTAACTGTAAAACTTACAATTCACACCGTATAATTCAAAACCCGATGTTACGCTCGTGGTTATAAATACACTACTGAGAACGTCATCGACGAGATGGATTTTACGCGTAACAAACAAAGACACAAATATCGCTCCGTACACCGATGCCATTAGTTGTAACAAATACTGAACAATCCATAAAATAATTAATTTTAAATGATAAAGAAATGTACAAGTATTACTCATTACTGATTTTTGTTATAATTAATATCTTTTATTAGTACTATGATTGTATATTATCTATAATTTGCCACAACTTACAACTCTACTACTTACTCTATTTTGATTCTGCTAAAAACTAGTAAGGTAAAATTGAGATATGACAACACGGTTCACTCTCAATCATTATTTGTTTGAGTATAGTGTTTAATATTTATTTTTGATTAAAGTTCATTTGTTAGCGTTCAAATTACATATTTATATAGCATGGAGTATGGTTTTTCAACTTTGATCAAATTTCATATAACCAAATATACGTTCTTTTTAGAATCCAAATCTGCAAGTAAAAATAAAGCGACCATTAAGTATAACTATGTAGTTTAAATAAAAAAAAAAATTAAGTACCACGTTCTTTTTACCAAATGAAATTCGTTCTGATAACGAAAGCACAAACCCTGGAAAATGAATTACCAAATAAATTCTAGTGTTGAAAATCGAGCTTAGACTCGAGATATTTTCCGTCGGAAAATCGCTATTCTCGTCTCAGAGGCGCGCGATCCAACCTTGTAATTTACTCGGAAATTCCTCAGTCTTATAATCCGGGAATTATGTTCCCCAAAGGAAAATATCCGAAGGAAATGAATGTACATGGTATACCATAGCCTTTTTGTTGCTGATAATTATTCATTGAGTAGATAGAGGTTTTTGCTTAACGAAGTAATATTTATATTTTTAACATAATAAAATATTATAATTTAAAAGTTTTAATAAATAAGTAAAATAAATTAAGAAGGATGATGTTATTCAATTGACTTTCAATATACTTGATTACACAGTAAAATTAAAAAAAAAACATTTATTGTTCAACAGGAAAATCCTAATTACAGAACAATTTAATAGGTAATACTAGAAATATGAAAATTATAATAAAATATAATGATAAAAAAAAATAAAATTTAAAAATACAAAAATTACATATAAAAATACAATATTCAAATAAGCATATAAGTTTTAAGTCTGAGAGTGATACATGTTTTTAAAACATGTAAATAAATCAAAGTATACAGGGTGTACCAATACAAACTCCCAAGCCGGATATTTTGAAAAGTAATAGAGATATTTTAGTTCTGTAACAGCCAGTTCATAGAACGCTAGAAGAGCTTCAGTTTTAGATTTAAGTTAATTTTAAATAGATAAATATGTAAAAAAATATGCGAAACAAAATTTCATGCATAAGGCAAGTCAAAGTAGCTACGTTTAAAACTTACAACTCTCTGTAGTATTCATATTGTAGACAAGTTCAAAGTTTTTGACACTGATTTGGAGTTTCTGGATACTAAAGATCCAATTTTAAAACAAACTTTAATCAGGTACAAATCAGACAGTGCCTATTTTACATATTTATTCAGTAAGTTTAATGAGTTTAACAAGGTGACTACCTAAATTTGATCAAAACAAAGTCCATAATTTCAGCATTTCTTGCCAGAATTAAACTAATGAAGCACAACGTTGAACGGTGCGAATTTTCCCAGTTTTCCAATTTTGTCACATCAAACTGTGCCAGGTAGATGACGTTTTTGAAATAGGGTTTGAGGATGTTTTAAATAATATGAATAATTAATCCATATGGCGACGTTGAAGAAACAGATCTTATATAACAAGAAGAACTGATTGAAATGAGTACTAACGGAAAACTTAAGGTATAGTTTAAAAACGAATATCAACTATTCTGGCTTATCCCGCATTATGGAATATCGCGAGAAAGATTTTAATTGCTTTTCTGTCTTTATATCTAGTGGAGAAAGGTTTCAGCGCGGTTACCAATATTGTACCAAAAAAAAAGAATAGGAACAAACTGGACATCATTAACCAAGAAATTTTAAGAGTAAACCTCATTAAATCGATGCCAAATATTGAACATTTATTTTCAAAGCACTAGGTTTATCGTCCCCATTAAAGAGCGTTAATTTTTATTTATTGATTTTAAGTAATACCTAGGAACTTCATTTTATTTTGGTTTGTTTTAATTTCAGTTTCATTAATAATTGTATTAAACACAATGTTTTTTTTTTCTACAGTAAATCAAACTACATATAAAGTAAAATGAATTTTTAAAAATGCAATATAACCTACAACAGAAAAACATGGCAATTAAGTTTGGGGATCTCTACTTTAGACAGATAAGACCAGACGTGACGTCACGGCCAGCGGAAAGCGAGAACTCAAAAGTATATATAAAACAAATTTGAAAGCTGCACTCTATACTAAAGAAACAGTGTTGCCGTTTTTTGTCAACTTTCTGAGAAAATTTCGGATGTACTTGCATCGATTCATGCCGTGCAGCGTTCCAGATCTACTCTAAAAAATTCCTCAGATCTGGAGAAAAATCGACGAAAGTACTCACTATCTATTAAAGGCCCGTAAATGAATATCGAACTGCGAAGATTATATTAAAAAATCTATCAGTCACGAATGAATAAATATAAAAATCGACCAGTTTCGGATTTTTTTTCCAAAAGCCAAAGAATTACAAAATAATTGCATTTTTCTTTTTTACACTGTACTGTATACAGATAGCCAATATACGAAATAACTTTCGATGCTAATCCTACACTCTGGACGAGAGGCAGCAGAAACCAGAAACATAACCTTTTGATATGGAAATGGAAATAGAGATGGCAGATTTCTCATCGGAATCAATATTGTGCTTGGAGGTTCAGTTATACACATGGCGCGGTTCTTAGGATCAAATTGCAGCTACTGAAACTCGACACTCGGCAAGCTCGAGCTTTAAAATATTTGAAATGTGTTTACAATACGGGTTTGTCAAACAAGAAATCGAAGTATATTAAAGAGTATTGTATTTTTTTACAAGAAACTCGATGCAGCACCTTAGGCTGTTATACAAAAATAAAATTATGGAGTTTTTTTTTTAATTAACATTTTATTAGTTCCTTGGTTTTAATTCGGTTCAATTCTGTAATAAATATTTTTGTTATGATTAATCTTTGAATCAGTAGGGAAAAAACATAGATATAGAAAGAATATTAGATAAACAAATGAAATATAGATAAGCAACGGGTCCACCAACATTTTTCAAATGAATTTTTTCGAATCCTATGTTTTCAAATGCAAAATTTTCGAATCTGATTTTTCGAAAACATATTTTTGGAAATTGTTTTTTCTAAAAGCACTTTTTTAAATCTCTTACTTTTAAAATAAACATATTTTTTTATCATAAAAACTTTCTGATTCCATTACTATTTTTTTTTTATACTATTTTAGGGGTCTAATATTAAAAGCAGCAAACTCCAAATTTTCCGATTGAAGCTTTTTGTGTCGTACCGGTTTGGAATGTTTGTTTATTAAAATATCAGATCTTATTTTGTAACAAAAAAAGAAATAAGCCGTTAAAACCATTCAACAAAGTTGTAAGTTTGTATCAGAAACAGCAATCTTCAGATTTGTCATAACAAAATTAGCAAAGTCACTCTCAGCCAATAAGGCCCGATTGTACAATGCGAGTTGAACCTCGGTTTAGCATGAACCTGGTTCTTGGCGTTGTACAATACTAGTTCAGAACATAAACTGCGTTCATCTATAGGTTCAACAAAGCGGTCATGTTTCCGCGCTTAAACCGAGTTCAGACCTCCGAGCAATTACTAATAGAGGGAGCGTGAAAACGAGTTTGTAGGCGATTGTTGTGTTAGCAACATCTGTAGAGGAAGTGAAAAAGCGGGCGCAAGGGGGAAGGTAAACATCCTTCTTGTTCAGTGGCGTATCATTTATCTATAAAAACACACATTGTCCTAACGTTTTAATTATAAAAACAAACTAAAAAATTTGCTAATTTTACTATTTTTTAAAAGAATACCGTCTTATATGTGTCTAATGTAGGAAATGAAACAAAATCACTGTAAAGGTCTAATTTTTTCAATTGAAGAATAAAACCTTAAAATCAATTTTATTATAAATAAATACAGGAGCGACTAGTTTCGGCCTTACAGGAACATCTTCAGGCCTGTAATACAATATTCTTTAATTATTATAATAGGTTGGTCACTTACGAATAATATTAAGTAGTATAAACCACAAAAATGGATCCATATTGTAGCGTTACAGCATTATAGAATTAAAGCTGTGAAAATAAAAGGGCAGTGCAAACAACTAAAAATAAGAAAACTGAGTACGGAATCTACAAGAGAAAAGGTGAGAATGAGCAATTACAAATACATTTAAATTGCTCGGGATAAGAAATGTAAAGTAGTAGTATAGTCTCCGTCAATGAAGGTCTGGATATGTTAAAGAGGACGGCGTTTTCTCTGTAAATCTGGAGAATGTAAGGATGGAGGGAAGACCAATTTTGCTGGCTCAGGTGTAGATGGCTAGAAAAAGGAGCGTGTAGATGAAAGCTCCAGTAAATATCGTCACTTTCGTCTAATTTTTAATTCTCACTCATCGTTTCGGCTTTATCTTTGAAATTCATTTTTAAAAGGAAATAAAAGTAATCATTCATACAAGCATATAATAAAACAACATGAATTCATTATATTTAATAAGCTAATAAACGTTTGTTTCAATGAAAAAAACATATATGTGAATAAAAAAAATATATAAATAGATAAGATTAATATCAAAATCAATTTGAACATACAATAGATAATAAAATGAAATAAATTAATACAAGTAGGTACAAATAGAAAGTTAATAACATACCATCTAAAAGTAACACATTTTAAGTAGATAAATGTTTAAAGTGTTTATTCCTGAACATAACTAATCTAACGTTTTTCCCCTTTTTAATATTATGAAAGTTTTTGTAGTTGAAATGAAAATTATAATTTATTTTGGTCCTAATAAAAATTTAAACAAAGAGTAAAATACATAATAAAACTTCATAATCTTAAATCGTTATCAAAAATTATTAATGGTAAAACTTCAAATAATAATTAGATTCTTAAACAAATTTCTAGTTTTTGTTTTGCAAAAGACTTTTTTGCCTTCTTCAGTTGCCTCTGCCACTTTTCTTTTAGTAGTTTCGAGGAGAATTTTCCTATGAAAACCAGTAGAACCATCAATTGGTCGATAAAATTTTGATATTTTGGGTCTGGTAAGTCTTGTTAAACTTTCTTCTTAGGAAGTTGTAACCTTATGGAGAATAAAAATTTAATATTAGATCAAAAGCTCTTAATTGAGAATTATATTTGCAAAGGCCGTTTTAATAATATTTTCAAAAGTTCTTGGAATCGTTGTTAACAGAAAACTGCAAAAAAATATATCATTTTATTCCTAAAATATAAATTATCACACAATGAACATTCATATAACATCATTGCGCAAGAAAAATACTAGGTAGGTACTGAGACAATTTAAAAAAAGTATTTCGAGAAACTCAACTTTTAATGTCATCATTGTACTTAACTATTTTATTGCTAAATTATTAATAATGTCATTTTGTGTAGTTCGTTGTGATTTGTATAATATATATTATAAAAACCTATCGTCAATGTTAATGTGCCAAGTTTTTTTATTAATTATGTCCTTGTTATAGTGAAAACACATTTAAACACATTTTTGAAGTTTTCTGGATTTCTGCTTTAAATTATCGTACAATTGAACTAATTGTGTGTTTAAGTGAAGGTATATATCTTTTTTGTTATAACAGTCTTTGTATATTGTTCTAACTTTTTAGATTCAGAGAAAACAGTAAGACATCTT